TTCTGCATTCAGCTGTGTACAAAAGTTCAAGTTAGGTGCACTCTCACCCGCATCTCTGCACCCCTGAACTAGACACTGTGACACAGAATAGCAAACCAGCTAGAAGTTAACAAGAGCAGGATTTAGCTCCATAAGATGCACTGGAGACACAGTGTCATTGTGCTGCTGGCTGCTACCAGTCGTTCTACACTCTCTTTGGTAGACTCTTTACCTCTTGACCTCACTATTCAGCTGCAAGTCTCTGAAAGTCTCAAAACTTTGAAGCCAATGGTCACTGTTGCCTCAAATCACCAACTCCACCAATCAGTGTAAATGCCCTTTAGATAGGCCATGCAGATCCATGCCCTAGCAATTAGCGCACATGCTCCGGCATACTGTGATGCCTGTATCATTTGTCAGCCCCATTACCCCATGATTTTCTCACCAATTATGTCCTTTCTTCTCTCTACTACCCTCTCATTTCAAGTCAACATGAAGTCATAAGGCCAAAAATATACTGTATGTATGCATACATTTTTTATCTACCAATACAAGAGACACAAACGGTCCATTATTACACTGTTTCATTGTAATGCATCTCTTGAGAGAAACATTAAAAAAAAAATATTTGAAAAGAGAAACCCAAGAAATGAGCTGTATGATAATGTGAATATATTATCAGGGTCTTTTTCATACACTGGACTGCTGTATTTTTATACAATAATCAAACAAAAACTAAGGAACTTTCTTGTGGGGGTGGGGAGCAAAAAAAGAGAAATCAGGCTCTAAATAAAATAGTATTTAAAAAATTGTAAAAGTTAAATTGGGTGCAACAGAATGGAAAATAACTCAGGGGTATCAGGACACAAAAGTTGACACATCATCTTAAAAATGCAGTGCAGAGCAATACCCTGAATAAACACAGTCAGACGTTACATCTGCAAGTACTACATATTGGGATTTCCCAATTTTAGAGTGCTGACATTCAAACAGTTGCTAGTTACTAGACTTACAACTTAATCTCACTAACTGACTAGGTTGTTGGACAGTGTTCAAATTATACCAAAGCTTTTAGAAAAGCAGGTCTAAGAATACAGGTCTTAGAAAGCGCTTCCCATCATTGAAAAATTTGAAAAACGCAAGACACTGGCAGTGTAATGGGGAAAAAAACGCAAGGTTATAAGGCACAAGTCAAACTTCTTTAAACTTGAGCGCCATGATTTAGAATGTTGTTTCATGTGTGAGACACTACCAGGGCCGGACTAGGACGCAATTTCAGGCCGGGAAATCTCACACTCATCCAGGCCACACAGAAAAAAAGAGGCCAAAATGGTACCTTTTGAGGTACAACAGCTTGTAGTACCCTTAAAAGAACATCATTGTAGCTTTTTTACCCCTAATAGGTACATAATAGTACCTTATAGTAATTCGTACACATAAGGTACTAATATTTAACATTCAGCTGAATGTCTACATTTTGAAAATATTTACTGATTTATTTATACAGAAATATTTAGCATTTTTCTTATTTTATTTTATTTTATTTCTGAACATATGTTTAAGACAAGTTTGTACAATATTTGCCTACATAATTCATGTATCTTTTCTGCAAAGTGAATTTGCTTTACATTTAAACAGTGTCGACCACTTTCACGTGTGGTGCACTTGGAATAGGACATTAAACAGATGGTTTTGCAAGTTTTTAATAAAGAGAATGTTACTTGAATCATGTTGTAGTTACGTTTTTAAGTTGACTAGTTAAACGGGTTGCCTGGCTTTTTCTTGTAGCATTTTCTTGTTGCTATTTGCACTAACTGCACTAATATAAATGGCTAGGTAGGCATGGTTAGCTAGCCCCTCCTCATCCTGATTTTTAGAGAGGACAAGAGGGACTATGACTGGAACTCGAGGGCCTTGGTTACTTGTGTTCAAACATTGGTTGGACTACAAGTCAACCATTGGACTTAACCCTTGTTAATACTTCTTCTACTGCAGCATACAAAAGAGGACGTCTTTTCATTGTGTATTGACTTAGGTTCCTGTCATCACACTTTTAATCACTCAAAAAATAAAGCAGCAGCAAACCAATACATTTTACTATAATAACAGGGAACCATTATCTTGTCTAGCATCAAACCAATTATCACCCATTGAAAAAAAAAAAAAGATTGTGTTTTTCTGTCTTGACGCAGATCATATAAAGAAATCGTTGCTGTAAACACTGATATTGATATTTTGTCAGCAAAGAAAAATAATTGTGCTGGAGGAATGATGTTTTGTTGGATTTGATTTGTTTTACTTTTGTTGTTTGTTTAGATTGTCTCAAATTGACATTTTTTTTGCATTTCTGAACACAACATACATTGCAGCATTCATCCAGACCATCAAGTCAAATATTATTTGTGCATTCCTGAAAAATTATGAGGATCTGAGCTCATAAATCATAAGAGTTGTATTACACTCGCATTAATTTAGAGCATGATTTGACTGTGTAATTAAAACCTGTTGATGGCTCAGGCGAAATTAATCACAGCAGCTAAATAAATGTGCTGAAAATTAAAACTAGATGATCAAATAAGTTATGATTACATTACAGCACACTGGAAAAGATTTAATTACAATTTAATTGGGAAAGTTTAAATGATCTTATCTTGACTTTTCCTTTAAATTAAGTTAATATGAGCTGAACTGACAAGATTTATAATGAAATAACACAATGACTATGTTTGTACTTCTGTTCTCTTGCGATGTTACACTTAAGAAGACAAAAGGTTATTTGCATTATAGTGTTTTCTTAGACAAAACAATTAGTTCACTTGATTTAATGTGAGGTGTAAAGATCATGACTGTTCTAATGAAGGTTCTAATCAGACCCTTGGGCCCCTTGCATCTCACACTGTGATTAAAATGTAGTGACATTTTGTTAAATAATTCTGTTTTTGAACACATGATTATCATCTTGTGTTGATCTAGACTTCACCATAAACACTACTGAAATCAGATTGTACTGCCCCTAGCCTCAACAATGTCAGTTGTGTTTTGATTGACATTGTGTGTTAACCATGTTTCGGCATTTTTCCGCTTAGAACAAGAAAACAGTTTAACCTGGTTGGTATAAGCTATTTTTGACAAAGTAATGATAATACAAAGTATTATCAACCAAAGACGCATTATCTTCAACAATTTTAACTAAACCAAATTGTTTATGCTTGTAAAGCTGCTCTTTTACAGTGTTGTCATTTTCATGTATATAGTAATACCATAAGAATCACTGGGCTTGTTTCTTTTCCACTTTATTGAGCCAATTTATGCAGGTATTTAAGCTGAAAGTTGTGGGTGGCTTTTGTTTTCCTTTTTTTTCTAGCAAGATCTGGCAACACTAGGCGCGTTTCCATCACCCTTCAAATTGCGAAAATTTAAATTGTGAATCGAAAATACGCCTAATGGAAACACGTTAATTTCGCAAAAACGCCCATATATCGCAAAAAAGTATTTACGCTCGCATGAGGTGGTTTTTCAGGCAATGTGAAAAAGAGATAATTCGCAAAATTGCAATGGAAACGGCTTTTTCGCATTTACAGGTCACATGGCGTATGTAAAAAGTCATATGATCATTCTTCAATGTACTATAACCTCCAAGAAACACATAATACGTGGCCGCTCTCCAGTATAAGGGGCTTTCCTACCATTAATGCTTAGACAATTTACACTGAACACGTCTGCACACGTGTGGCTCTGATACAGCCACTGAAGCTGATTGCGGCCACAATGCTTGTTTATTCCAGAATCCAGCCGCGCCACGTACATTTCTGAAGCGGCTCTCTGTGCTGTTTCTGGAAAGATACACGCATACGCCTCCTTTGAATAAATATAGCCAAAATCCGTCAAAATCCCACCAAAATCCATTGCCATGACTTGTCGCGAGAGGCAAAAGGTTACGTTTTAGTCGCATAACATTGGTTAATGGAAACGCCGTCATTTCTCAATACTTTTTTATCGACATTTACAAAATATCGCCAAAGTTTTGTGCAAATCTGTAATGGAAACGCGCCTACTAAAGACGCTCAACCACTGATCAAACTCACCAGCCTGTAACTTTTTAGGAAGCCATCAACACCTTGATTAGCTTTGGTGTTTGGGGCCAGAGCTGGCCACCCTTGCTTTAGACATAAGACTACAAGGCTGAAGAAAGACAATGAAGAATGTGCAAATTATGAGATTTTCTCTTATACGCATGTAAATATATGTCATGTCCTGAGACGTATTACTGCACCTGGTGATGTCTGAGTTTCTGATGTTATTGTTTCTCTCTGTTTCCATGGATTTTACTGTGCTACTGCTTGTACAGGTACTGATTGTTGGACCTGCTACTAATTTGTTCACCTGCTGCGCATGTATGACCAAAATAAAAAATGCACTGGGATAAATAAATTTATTTGCATACCGACATGGTTGACAGCTGTCAATGCACAATCACCTTTTTAGATTGACAAGCTGTAATGCTGTATTGAATTTTCATTCGAACATGAAAGCATAAATCTAGGCTATGCACTGCTAGATTCAGAGAAAGATGAAGAACTGTGACATTTCATTCATTAATGCACTTCACTTGGCAACACTAAAACCAACAGCACATATACTTACTTACCAGCTAGCCACCAAAATAAAAGCTTGCTGAGTTTAGGTTTGAAAATGATTCAAATGAATAAAAAGAAAGAAAGAAAAAAGAATTTACACTGTATTTTTATGTGTACCATAAAAGAATTGAATTTTTATTTATCACTCATTTTTATTTTAAATATAATAAAAATATATATAAATATAACATATATTTTATTATATAAAATATAATAGTATTATTGCACTTTATTTATTATTTTATTATTTAAATAAATAAATTGCAATAAAGTGCAGTGTGAGCAACAAACCAAATCTCCAGGTGCTCTCATGAGAACCTGCCTGAAAACCTTATGTGCATCCCTGGTTATATACTGTATGCAAAGCATTCGTTTGTGTCTGACCTGAAGCAGTGTCTTCAGTTGAAGCAGCTGTTCTTTGACAGAAGAGCAGTCTTGAGCCATGTGTTTCATAGACAACTCATCCAGTGTCACATGGTTTGACCTCGACCTCTCCAGTCCCTGTTCCTTTCGCCCATCAAACGACTGCAAAATGCCACTTCTGTAGGTCAGACAGAAAGAAAGCAATCATAGAACATGTACCAGGTCAGACAGAAAGAAAGCGATCATAGAACATGTACCAGGTCAGCCAGAGGCCTCAACCTGCGGAATAAAACTTTAGACATGTCAACAATGCTGAGTTGTCCAATGACAGCAATGTAATCCAGAATCCACCTGGATATATATATATAGGGCATTCAGGAGGTCTGCCAACGTGGCTTTGAGAATGAAGAGATAGAGACAAAGGACAGTTGTGTTCAGTCAAGTTTAAAGTTCTCATGTGCAGTGACTTTTCAGTGTCTATGATTATTCATGTTCAGATTTGATACAATATGTCAATTTAGACATGCAGCAAAGAGAGAAATTTGCCTTTTAAATCATATGAAACAGACACAGATGCACTTCTGGAGACTAAAGGCTGAAAACTGGAACCATAAATGACAAAATTTCAGAGCAAAGACAGTTAAAAACTGCCTTCAGAATGTGGGTATTCATTCTAAAAAAAACATTTGCTTATCTTTTTTAGCTTAGCTTTAGCCTCAGATGGCTTAACGTCAGCCCACTCACAATCTGTTTACAGCTGTCTGCTGGATATAGGACTCAAAAATGGAAAGAGCTGACTAACTTTACGCAATGCATAGGGTCGATGCATTGGTTTTTGCCCAACCCAGGCTCATTGGAAAAACGTGCCTTTAGTGACAAGTTCTGCAAAATGATATCATGTTGATTCTTGCTGATGAATATGCTGACTACATGATTTTAAGATTAAAGATAAGTCTTTATTGATCTATAAAATAGCTGTGTAAACATAATTTGTGTGAAAAGGAAAAAAAGTTGTTGGTGTTTTACTACCACTAGTGTTCATTTCAACTGGAAACTGCAGTGAATTGCAGGGGTGCGGGACTATGTTAAAATAGCAGTATATTCTGCTAATTATTTATTGCAAATAGTGGCAATTATCTGCACCTCAGCATTGTAATACATTATAAAACAGTATGCAATAATAACTTATTGAGTGTAAATTTTAATTATAATTCAAATTATTAAATGGATGCAACCTTATTGGGACAAATGCCCTCCCTACACCTACACCTACCCTATACTTTATTTTCAACTTTTTGATTATTTCCCTTTTTATTAAAAATAAATGCTTTTCTGATGTGATTTGAAATTTGAAAAGGGAGAAAAAAAGTTCGCCAAAAGACAGATTCGAACCCGGGTCGATCACATCAAAAGGAGTATGATACACGATTTACCATCTACGCCACTGAATCTGACGACTGATTACAGTCTTTTGTAATGTTGACTAGCCCACTCACATGTTGGTGGGTGGAGTTAGTGTAAATAGCCTCTGCCAAAAAGACGGGCTATTTGCACTTAGTGTAAATAGACACTGCGATTTTTTTTTTATTCCCAACGGTTAAACAGTTGCCCACAGAAAAAAACAGGGGGTGCTGCAGCACCCTCAGCACCCCCATTTCCCGCACCTATGGTGAATTGTTTATATAGGTATGTTTTCAGAGTTTTACAAAAATGTAGGTAAAGGCACATTTTGCCAATCCCTAAACACTAAACACTAGATTTTGCACCAATAAAAAAAAAAGGTGTAAAGTTGACCAGATTTTATGCTAAACACATTAGTCCAGCTCTGTGGGACTAAGGGTAGCACTAACCTGAAAAATATGACAATGTATTGCTCTTACACACTGCAATGAGCACTGACAAAATTTACAATAATTTCACCAAATGTCAAAATGCATGAACAAAAAGGTCACCTGTTTTCACAGCGGAACTGATTATGCCTGCCCCAGTATTGCTGTCGTCTCCTCCTCTGAGTTGGCCAGCCGTCTTTTTCAGAGCATTCATAAGGTGATGTCCCATCAGTGTCTACAACAGATAAGTATATCAATAACTAGTTTGTGAGAGTTTTTGTGAAGTTGCTTACTGGCCCATGTCAAACTCCCCTGTCTATGATATTCAGGTCTCTAAATATGTATTGTGTCCTTCCTGTAATACAAGTCTAAGGAATTTATTTGACTGTTTTATCATTAACCAAGTAAAAGTCTAAGACAACATTAATAATGACAAACAGCAGGATAAATAAGACATTCTGAAAGGAAATACTGTACTGTATGGCATTCATTGGGTCAAACTATCAATGGTATAGACATAATTTGATATAATTTATTAACTTAAAAATAACCTTAAAGGGACAGTTCAGCCCTCAAGTTGTTCTAAACCTGTATGCATTTCTTCCTCTGCTAAATACAAATAAATATTTTCTTAAAATATGTGTAACCAAACAGTTGATGATCCCCACTGACCTCCATAGTTTTTTGTTTTTTTTTCATATAATGGAAGTCAATGGGAACCATTAACTGTTTGGTCACCCATATTCTTCGAAATATCTTCTTTTATGTTCTTCTTTTATGAAATGCATACAGGTTTGGAACAACTTGAGGGTGAGTAAATTACAGATTTCTTTTCATTTCTGGCTAAACTATCCCTTTAAGGAGAAAATAAGGACAGATCCACAAGTGAATTTACACTCCTACACAGACAGAACTTCTGTCAGCTCTGTATTCATTGTTCAGATACTGCAGAAAAAAGGCTCTAGTAAAAGCTCACAACTCAGCCTGATATCTAAAACTCCACTTGAGAAAACTCCACGTCTCTCCCTCATACTCATATGGTATTATAAATCATCATTATCTTAAAAGCTATAACCACAAATAAGTAAATATTACAATGCATTAAAAATGTTGTTATGATTAATCATGAGATGATACAACATATTATAAGTTTTTTTTTATATATATATATATTATGCATTCATTATAATGCTCTAAGAATACCCTTATAATGTATTATAAATACGGGCTTCATAGAAAGTGTGACCTGATGTTTTGCTGAGTTTATATCATCACTCACCGCTGTGTAAGGATGCATCTTCAGACAAGTCCAAATCCAACATGAGGTCATCTTCCTCCAGGTCACATGACTCCACATTCTCCAGGTTGTTGAGAATGTCCTTAAATGTAATATGTAAGAAGAGAGTTAAGCCAGGATCTTTGCTATCTATCCTATATGACAGCAGACCTCAGTTCAACAATTTCAAACAAGTTTTTGTAAAGAGGCAGGTTAAATTCTTTAAGACAAATGTCTTATATTTGAGAAAATTATTCTCTACTTCAGTATGAAAAAAAGTGGGATTTTTTCTTTTTAATTCCCAGAGCTGCAACACAAACTATTTCAGTGTAGAATGACATACAACAATTTCTTCAGGAAAAAAAATAAAAAATAAATAAAAACCAAAAAAACTTCTGTCTTCTAGAGATAGGTTTTTACAAACATTTTCTTATATACAAAATTAACTTGGAATTGGCAAGTGAAACTCATTTGAACTGTTAAAATGGTCAGTGGCATTGATTGGTTTTCTCTATACACAATGAATGTAAGTTCTCTATTCTGAAAACATACATTTTGCTCAATTTACAAGAACAAATGCATATGTGAGTTTGCTCTTCCTTCAACCCTAAACCATCCTTAAAACATAGAAACGAAAACAACATCAAATCGCTTTCAGGAATAGGGGTGTAGAAGATGCCCTTTAGCGAAAAGGAGAAGAGCAAACAAATTTAAAAGATAAGGATGGGTAATTTTAGGATGAGGAGGCAATGGGCAGAGTAGACTTCTCTGAAGGAGGAAGGAAGACAACTGATGCGTATTCAAGCAAGGAACAGTTCTCATATGGTGGACCTCCGTTAACTGACTTTTCCCCATGACTGGCTATCTACTCACGGCATGACAATAGAGGCACACTCAGAGGGGAACAGCCGATTTCGAAAACAGTGCAGGATAAAATGAGAGGTTTCTTGGAGTAGGCTGACTGTTTTTTGGTTCATTGAAAAATGTTGACAAAGCAACAAATGCCACCAAGGACCAAAGTCAACAAGCGGCTTGACTTTAATTCTTTGTTTTATAGTCTTGGCCAGTGAAATACAGCTGTATCACTGTCTGATGATATTATGCTACGTATTGTTAATCACTGGCACCTGAGTAACAGCGGTGTATGTATTTCATTTACCTACATACTGTTCATTTTGAGGTAATCAGACTTCACAGTCACACAGCCTATACAGCAAATAGGCGATTAAAGTGTGAGAATTAAACTGTGCAAGTCAATAAACGTGTGCAGCTCTGATTAAACTTTTGCATGACCACTTGCGCATGCACAGATCAAGGCACCACCGCTGTGCTTTAAGTGTAAATCACACAAGTTACTGTAAATGTAAATTTCACTTCAGACATACTGCACAACAGAAGCTTGCATTTTGCTCTACTGTATTTTTTGCCCATAGCTTTAAAAAAAAAAAAAAACTACCACTATCAATATTGGATCTTTTCAACTTGGTATAACATTCCATACACAATTATGCATACATACAGAGGGGTTCATTAGAATCACACTGGAGATGTTATTTATTTAAAATATATGATCATGAAAATAAACAAACCTTTAGGATTTTGAAAGTGTAATACAATAGACATTTTGACAGTTTAATAGACATTTTATGAAAGATTCTGCACTGTTATTAATCAAATCAGTGAGTCATCGGTGTGTCTTTGGGTGCGTCTCAATCAACACACTAGTTCAGTAGTCAGGGCACTAATCAGGGAGTCGGCCATTTTAAAGGCTGTTTCAGTGGCAAAATCCTTCGAGTGCACTGGAACGATTGCTCCCTAAAGAAATCCCACAATGCACCGCAAAAACCAGGGAGCATCGATGCTCCCTATGGTCCCTTACCGGAAATTATGTCACATTTCTGAACCACGAAACATAGAACGCATGAGCCAACTCAATATATATAATGACATATGATAGAAGATTTGAAATGACAAACCATTTTTTTTTTGTATTCCTGTGATTTGGGTGTCTCAGAGCTGCTCCACATGAACACCATCTTTGCATGCCACTTATAATGTGTATTTGGGGAACACAACACATAATAATAATAATAATTATTATTATTATTATCAGTAAAAGAGGTTGGTTCTTGTAAAAATTGAACAGGTGTGAACACCCATAAAAAGCTACTATTTCCAATGACATCAAAGTGTGGTCTCTTTGTTCTTTTTGCCTGGATGTTTCAGCAACAGCAGCGTAAGACATTTTCTTATGAGATTAAGTGTTTATCATATCACAATAACAATATATGACAAAATAATCTTAATATATTTTGGAACTTTTGTGTCACCCATATTGTAAATAAAAACAATCAAAATAAAATACATACTGAAATACACACATACTTTTGTATTAATATTTTGTTTTCCTGCATGTCATATTACCATTAACCAACATTTGAGAACCACAAACATTTGAATGTGTTGTTAAATTATTGAAATTTAAATACTTAAAATCTAAGGGGGTAATTCAAGAAAATATTTAATGTCAAAAGGGGTTTAGCTGACAAAAAAAGTTTAGGAACTTCTGATATAGGTGATAGGGAGCAATTCAGAAAGTGTAAATATGTTTTCCATTGGGGTGAATTAATTCGTTTTCACTTACAATCAATATCACACCCGCAGTAGTGTGCAATGGCTCTATATCAGCATGCGACCTCAGGCCGCAGGTAATCATAGCCGTGCTGAGCCAGATCACACTCCTACTCATGTGATATTGCTAATTTAAAGCATTATGGAGCAGGTCAAACAGATAGACAGCCTTGACAAACAGCACTGACAAGAAGAAGAGGAGATGATAACGGTGCCATGCACCAACATAAATTCTTCATAGAAGAATTCTTTATAGACTTCATATTATAACATTACTAAAAATGTATAACATAAATAGTATAGTGTCATAATAAATCTAATAGGGGCAATCTATTTGACTTATGTGAAACTGGTATGATACTTTTTTTTAAGTAGGCTGACAGCTAAAAAAATAATAATAATTTTCCAGAGTCTGCTGGTTCAGCAGCGGAGACTCCTATAGCATTTTCCAGATGGAAGAGGAGTGAAGAGTTATCTGAGTAGCAAACTCATTTCAGTCTGTGTGCTAAAATCGATGGCCATACAGCCATTACACACTCTTGCTCTTGTGATATTGCTTTATTACAATGAGCGATGCCAGCCACTATAATTTTTACATTTCTGCTGTAAGAAACATGGCCTTAACAGTAACAACTATCTAGCCAAGATACATATCACAGGCTATTGACTGGACCAAGGTTTTATGATAACTCATGAAAAGAAAAGGGAGGAGAGGCAAATATAGTTTCAAACCAGGTCTAGCAAATGCTTGCCTAACTTATCAGAAAGAACAAATGCATGAAAAGAAAATCTGACCTTGGCAGCAGAAACTAAATAACAATGTATTTGGGAGTGATCATTATTTGCAGTCTCTCTTTTCTCTAGCTCTCAGAGCAGCCTCTTTTTCCTCTGCCCAAGACATAGGGAGTGCTCCTGAATGAGCTTTACTGTCTGCTCCATTTTTGCCTTTCTCTCCCATCAGACAGTAATTTGCTATTTCATGGTGCTTTTTTCATTAAGACAACAAAAGACCATTTCTCATACAGCCTCTAAGCCTTCACAAAATGGAGCTACAGCCTTTCAAACATGGCCCAGATGTGTCCGGCTCTATTCAAACATATATACAATTACCTTGCTTACAACAAGGAAGCTTGATTTTCAGGGCTTGCTTTATGATAAATAAATCATTTATTTGTCTTACCAACCCGTAAGATATGAAATACTATATGCTTCAAAATCAAAATGAATGCAAAAATTTTGAAATGAAAAAGAAACTGTATCTAATTGTAATTAAGAATATATCTAATAGGGGTGTAACGGTACACCTATTCTTACATGAAATTCTTCTGTACGGGTCTTTCGGTTCGGTACGCATGTGTACCTAACAAATACAGCATTGTTTTAACCACTGCACAAGCGGAAATTAATTGGAAAGTTAATTATATATTGTTTTATATATTGTTACTTTTGATTAAAAAAAAACAAAGTCTCATCTTTTAAATTATGTCCTTTTTTTCAGGAAATTCAAACAATAAATGCCGTCTTCACGCTCTTTAATGTGGCGCGACAGATCGCTGTAAACGCCTCAGTTTAAACGGCAGCGCGGAGCGCGAGTGAGCCCGATCATTCCTTCCTCTATACTACTAGTTTTAACGCGAAATAAACATGAATGAACATCTTATGCCTCATGTAATCGCTCAATCAGTGTTTCAACCTTGGAAAGACGGCAATAAAACAGCTTGTAAACAAAAGGTCATGTAGCTTTTCATTTATATCAGGCAAGTCGTCAGTGTCCACAACTCATTATTCGCAATAAATTAAGTCTAGAGAAGAGCATTTCGTGAAATATTAGACTATATACTCATTCTATTTTACGTTTCCTGTTAGTGATGTCTTAATTATTTAATGTTTAAATAAATCTGTTATGAAACGAGTTATGAGAGGCACTGTGTAAATGAATATATTTCAACAACAAATACAATTTTTATAATTTAGAAGTTAATTGAAAAACTACATTATGTGCAATTTACATGTTTGCATACAGGGCCTAAAACTAACTTTTTGCCACACCTGCCAATGGCCGGTGACGTGATCAAATTTACCGGCCAAAAGATATTTTTTACCAGCCATGAAACTCTTTTTGCAAAAACAGGCAGTCATTACTACTACAATGACTAAACATATTTGCAATGTTTTTAATTTGTCCTTTACTTGACTTACAAGAAAAAAACAACAGATTTATTGATTCATTTATTTATTTTTTTCCCAAAAAACCTTGAGATTCTTGTCCTTTGTATGTTTTCGGCAAACGGAGCAGGCCATCGTGTTACGCCTGTTTCACACATACTCAGTTTGCAGTGCGTATTTTTTTCCACACCCATGTTAACGGATTACAGCAGGGCTATTCAATTAGTTTCATTTGAGGGATGGATTATCGAATTAAAAATTTGAAGGGGGCCAAGGGGGTGGGGGTCGTCCCGATCTCTTTCTGGG